ATGTAAGGTGCTGGGAAACTTTCTTTCTTTCAAGGTGTTGTGGAACAATCCATGGTTGGGTGAGAACCCTTGAAGCAATGGTTTTTATTTCAGAGATTTTCCCTTTGCATTGATGGCATTCACAGGAACAACAAAAGTGTGGGTTGCAGGTCTCACTGTGTGGTGTGGATAGCAGGAACCAGAGCCAAATCTCCGAACTTTAATACAAATCAGAGCGCTGGCCGGGCCTTCATAATTTATTCGTGTTTCAAATGGAGTGCTTTGCTTATGAAGCTTTAGGGAAGCAAGTACAATAAACTACACAATTAATTAAAATGTTTTAGAGCAACCAGCAGCAACATGAATAAAACATCCCCTTCTGCAGCACATTAGTAGACTTTCAGCTGATTCTTCCATGTCAGTGGGAAAAACCAGGATGAAAGGGTCTGACTTTCATCATCATCAGTGGACTGAGCTCATTGGACTTGGGCTGGTAGCTTTTCAAAGAAGCAGACTCATGGCCAATATCCCATTCCTCCCTACGTAAGCATCTGGGCGCTCTCAGCTTTAATAAAAACAGACACCTGCCTTTATTTAGCACTGGCTTCATCACTGAGCCCTTGTTTAATCCTCACAAGAACTCTGCAGGGTAGATGTTAAGGTTTCCATTATACAGTTGAGAAAATGGGCTTGGATAGCTTATACCATGGCTTCTTAAAGGCTAGTAGATAGCATCAGCATCATTGGGAAAATTCAGATGGCCCATCTCAGGGCAAACACAGATGCTCCTTGAATCAGACCCAAAGGCGGGGGGCCCCACCATCAATAATGTAACATGATCTCCAGGTGATTGGCAAGACCCCCTCAAGCTTGAGAACAGGTGGGTTGTAAGCATTTCCTTGGCACCACTGCATAATATGGGGGCAGAATTTGAAGAATAGTATATTGGACTTGGTTATCCATAAGGACCTTTTATAAAGTAACATTTTAAGGAAGGGTCCCCTAAGGCTATGCATCCTTTATGTTTGCTATAGGTTTTCCAGCCCGCCCCCCCCCCTCTATCATTAGCTCCTGTCTTTTCAAGTAACTGCTTCACAAAACAAAACCCCCCAACCACCAAACTCACTTCCATCCAGTTGATTCTGATTCCTAGCGACCCTCTTAACACAGAATAGAATGCCCGTGGTTTCGAATGCTATGCCCCTTCACCAGAGCAGAAAGCCTCATCTTTTCCTCAGGGAGCAGCTGTGGGGTGGAGGCAGGGATTGAACTGCTGACCTTGTGGTTAGCATCCCAACAGTGTGCCCCAAGAGCTCCTAAGTAACTCTTTTGAGCAGGGGGTGGCAAATTGCAGCTCTGTGGGAACATTCATGTGGCTCTGGGGTAAAATTGAAAATGAAAATAAAACTATCATAGTTTCCTTTATAAAATTTTCAAAGGATATTGTGTTAGTCCAGGTTGACTAGAGAGGCAAATCCAGAGACACTCATGTGTACAAGAAAGAGCTTTATATCAAAGAGCAATTGTTTACTGAGAAAACATCCCAGCCCAGCCTGCATCGAGTCCTTAAGTCTGATATTAGCCCATTTGTCTGATACTAGTCCATAAATTCCTCTTAAGACTCACACAACACATGCAATATGCTAAAGGCAGGAAGATCACAGGCTGGTGGGTGGATCACAGCCTTGTGGATCCACTGCTGGTGGAAGCATCTCAGTGCTTCCTCCTCCTGCTCTCTGTAGCGCTTCCACAGGAAGGTGAAAGCAGAGAGAGAAAAGAGAAAGTTCTCAGGATCCTCCTTGTGGGCATGGCCCACACCTTTCACAGCATCATCAGGCTGTGACCTGATTGACAGGCTAGACTTCACCCCTTCACTCTTAATAGCCTCAAGTTGACACAAGATTATGTAACTACCACAGAATATGATTCCGAAGAATGGTGATTTCATTTGTTTGCAAAAATATATTTAAGACTCACAAATAATTTTTAAATTATTGGGAAGAACGGGATTGGCTCTTCCATCTCAAAGGTTTGCTGCCCCCTAGTCTAGTGTATATGAAAATTTGTTTTGCTAATTTCAGGATAATAATAAAGCTTTCACAAACTTTGTTCAGATAACTAGCAAGCTGTAGTTCCCCTTTCCTTTTATGCCATTGCTTTGAAACTGACAAATGACCCGTTCAGGAACCTGCCTGTGTGAAAGCCCTGGAGTTCTTGTTTTGGGCTTTGCTGTGTTTCCATCTGTTTCTTCAGGGGTAAAGCACAGGTACTAAACGAGTTCGTATTCACTTCGATAGAACAGCGCTCTTTCCGTCTCAGTTGAAGGAACTTAGATGGTTGGTACAGTGCTGATGAAGTGCACAAACAAAGCATGCGGTTCCTACCCTGGTTCTGCCACAAACTTCCTGGTATGCTATCTGACTGTGCTTCTCCTGGCTAAAACAGAGCCACAGTGATAGTAAATAGATTAGATATGAAGCATTCAAAATATAGTGATACCTCAGTTGTGGAACTCAATTCATTCCGAATTCATGTTCACACACCCACTGAAAAGTTTGAGAACTGACCATATTATTCCCACAAATAAAAATAATAGAAAACCAAATAATTGGTCTGAGCCTCCAAAATTACACTTTTAAGTTTATTTTACTGGGATTTTAAATCAGTTTGGAGGCATTTGGCCTTCTCCCATATCACTGTCTCAGACACTCATTCCATCGAGTTGTTTCTGATTTATCCACATTAACAGTCACTTTTCAACCTCCCAGATGGTCTGGGCTCTGTTTCATGGTTAACGATTTCACACCTTTCACTACATTAGCTGCTTTAATCACATTTCCCCTCCCACAATGTGGATAATGTCGACTTAGCCATGTTGTATGCAGCTGCCAAATCAGGCACGCAGCAACCTAATTCAAATTTTGCAATGACTTCTTTCTTGAAGACTATCGTGGTTCACACAGTTTTTCTCTTAGCTTTACTGGGATATCGCTAACTTTCTTTGGAGCGACGGTATTGATATTTTACACAAGTACAGTGCACCCCCCACCCCACCCCCAAACAAGCACAGTGAGGAATGTTTTCATGTACGCACACAAGCACTATATGTTGTCCAAGCAAGAACGGCTCTTACACTGAAGGGTCGCCCCTCTGTGTCCGTGGCGAGAGGCGGCTCGTCACTCACTCTTGGCGGGGACAGGCTTTTTTTTCACACAGACGGTTGGTTTGATTATAGAGCAAAGCTACGACCATCGATCAGCTTTTCCTCAGAGTTTGCTGTTGAGTCGTGGAAAGTTCGAACTTGGAGTCATTCAGTAACTGAGGTCTGACTGTGCTCTGCAGCCCATTGGGTGCTGTCCATCTGTCCTATTCTAGACATCTGAGGTTGCGCGGTGGTCGGTGGGTGCCAGGGGTCGGTTCAGACGCACAGTGACTGTGTGCACAGCAGAAGAAAGCACTGCGGCATCCTCACCATTGTTAGGGTGGAGCCCACTGCAGCCACTGCGTCAGTCCGTTGTGTCTGGTCTTCCTCTTACATTGCCGTTATCTTCCAAGCACGATGACCTTCCTAGGGGCTGGTCTTCCTTGATAACATGTCCAAAGTACGGGAGGCGAAATCTCACCATCCTCGCTTTTAAGGAGGTTTGGCTGAACCTCTTTCTAGACAGGACGTGTGGTGTGGAAGGAGCGTCGACACTGGAGTCACCAGAGCCCAGGTTTAAACCCACTCAGTGGTTCTCAACCTGTGGGTCGTGACCCCTTTGGGGGTCCAACGACCCTTTCACAGGGGTCGCTCGATTCATAACAATAGCAAAATGACAGTGATGACGTAGTAACCACAATAATTTTATGGTTGGGGGGGTCACCACAACATGAGGAAGTGTATTAAAGGGTCGTGGCATTAGGAAGGTTGGGAACCACTGCTCTAACCAGGTCCTTTTTCCGCTGTAAGATAGAGGTCAGAAGACCTACTTGTACTGTGTTATAAGGAAAGAGGTCAGGTTTGAAGCCAGAGGAGTTGAGAGTCAATGGCTTATCGGGGATTTGAAGCTGTGAGATTGGCCAAGGTCATTGGGAAGGGGTGTCAGAGGAAGAGGGTGAGGTAGGGGAACACTGTGTGAGCCCCGGGACCTCAAGTTCGGTGTCAGCTTCATGCATTCTAGGCCTGGCTCCCTCTCTGTGTAACGACCGCTGATAACCATATAGCGGGCTTCCAAACTCCGCTCACCACAGGACTCAGCTGACAGGACATGGGGGGTGGTCCAGACGTGTTTGGTGGGGGCGGCAGGGGGCACGCCTTGGCAGAATGAAAGGCCTGTACCTTCTAAAGAGTGCAGCTGCTGCTTGACTCTTGGCTCTGCAGGGATGTGAATCTGGGGTTACGCAGCCATCAGGGTTTACATGAGAAATCAGGGACCTGGACTCTCTTCAGACTCTTTCAAACGGCCAAGTTAAAAAAACAACGGAATCGCTCTGTGGCCCAGGCAACCCACATCTGTGGACCAGATTTTGGTCTGCGGGTTGCCAGCCCATGGCCTCTGCTGTCGATTGTTCTGTAAATATGACCTGCTATTATTGCATGTCCTGGAATTCATTCGGAATAACCTCCCAGGAGGCTGAAGGCTGAGACTCTTCTAGGAACACATCAGGGTTTTCTTGGTCATCCTTGCAACGGCCCCCCAACACACACTGGAGCTGTTTAGAGGTGGACACCAAGGGCTACTAGCTTTGTTGTGGAATTTGGTTAGATTTCAAATCCAGATGTACAAGCTGGGAAAATATCTCTCCGTAAATGAGTGATTTGGGAGATAAGCTGTCAGGTCTTAGCCTTCCTCCCCCGAAGGTCAGATTGAACCTGAACTGTGCCCCAGGGCATCCTCGACAGCCTGAGAAGCAGGGATAAAAACAATCCCTCCAGGGACCCATAGGACCTGGCCCTGGTACCTGGGAGTAGCTTTCAATATGGCTTTGTTTGTTGGTTTGTTTTACAGAGAAAAGAGTTTGATGTGGACACGCTCAGTAAGTCTGAGCTGCGGATGCTCCTCAGCGTGATGGAAGGAGAACTGGAGGCCAGAGATCTCGTCATCGAGGCCCTGCGGGTAAGAAGGCGTCTCCCCAGGCGGGGACAGTGCTTTTCAACCCTCTGGATCACTCTCTTTTTTCCAAAGGGTCACCAATGCAGATCCTTATTTATGGATGTTTAGTCCAGTATGTTTAAAATGTTAACCTCAAATGAGCTTTGCTCTCCACATCCCATACCAACCCCAACCCCAACCCCTAACTTCATCACCTCCTCCAAAGAACCGGGAGTTGGAAGATCATTGACATGGTAGGGACTGAGACTGAAGTGGTTAATGTGGAGAAGTAAACGGGAAATGCTCACAAATCCTCTTACACTTCATGTGTTTATTTGATTTGAGACATGTTTCAGAATATTCGTAGGTTGGTATCCTACAAATGTGTGAGGATAGTGAGGAAAAATTAAGAGCATCATATCCGTAAATGATCCGGCTGATGAAAGTGCCACAAATATACTATACATGATGCATGGGCTTATCTTATTTTACCAGGGGGCACTACCTCAATTTATTGTAGGCCATTTATTGTGACTCATGAAACAAATCTAAGAAATGACAAGATAGCTCACCTTGGAGTTCCTTGTTACCATCAAGCCCACTCCAATCCACAGTGGGCCCACAGAGCAGGGCAGAACTGCCTTCTTGTGTTTCCAAGACTTGAAACCCATGTTATAGGAGCAGGCAGCCTCATCTTCCTCTTGTAGAGCAGCTGCTGGGTTCAAACCATTGACCTTGAGTCCAGGAGCTCCTAGTATGTCGGAAATAGGTGACGATAGACAAGCTTAGACATGGAAAAGGTGGACTTGGTAAGAAGACACTTTTGTGGTGTAGGGAGAGCTCATTCCTGAAATTATGTCTTTGGGGGCATTTTCACAGACCTGGCGTTGGAACAGAGAGACTACTGTTGGTCCCTGGATTTCAGGACAACAAACAAATGCAGCCACTCCTTGTGAGAAGGATGAGGCTTTCTGAGCTTTGCAGACTCAGAAACCCACAGGGCAGTTCTGCTATGTCCTCTAAGGTGTCTAGGAGTCAGAGCTAACCCCACAGCAATGAGGTACAGCACCTGCAAGCCACTATTGTGGGGCAGGCGTTTCTTTTTTAATGACAAGTTGTGCTCAGGAGATTTTGCAGTTTCATTGTGAGAGATGGTCCTCTTGTTCCACATTTGGAGCATTTGCATTGCTGGCTCCTGTATTTTCTGGGGTGAACTTTCTTGGAGAAATGCTACGGCCAGATTAGCACCAACATGTGTGACTGCTCACCTGAGGAGCGTGCCAGAGCACGGCCCGCAGCTGAGGTCATAGTGTAGCCCTTTGAGATCACACCTAGGTGGAGTTCTGCAGCTCCACAGGAGCTGTTTTTTGGTCCCTCTCTGTTAACGTGTAAAAGGCATCGATGCGGTGGAATTTTCCATTGCTCAGTGTTTGCGCGTTTAGTAGAGTTTGCATGTTTCTGCATATTTTCCTTAACTCTGTGTATTTCTCTTTTTCACTTAAATGTAATGTTTTTAAATGCAAGAGTAAAAGTAAAGGCTTGCTAATGATCAAGGCTTGCCAACAGAAAGTTGTTCAGAGACTTGCGGAATGCTAGGATTGATTACAAGACGCCATCTGTGGTACCCTAGTTCAGTGGTCAGGTCCAGAGCCATCAGTGGTACCCTAGTCCAGTGGTCAGGTCTAGTGTCTTATTTCATGAAAACGTTCTGTGACCTTTTAAACAATCCTGTAACGAAATGTGTAGGTAATTGCATGTGTATGTAAGTTATATTAAAATTTTTAAAAATGCATTGTTCTCACTTTGAGCTAATGGAGAAAGAGCAGAAAAACAATGAACCTATAATGAAACGTATTTAGATCAGCGGTTCTCAACCTGTGGGTCGTGACCCCCTTGGGGGTCAAACCACCCTTTCACAGGGGTCACCTGATTCAGAACAGTAGCAAAATTACAGTGATGAAGTAGCAATGAAAATAATTTTATGGTTTGGGGTCACCACAGCATGAGGAACTGTATGAAAGGGTCGCGGCACTAGGAAGGTTGAGAACCACCTATTTAGATGAATAAATGCTTAGACCTGACCATACTGGAAGACATGCTAAAGTAGTTGACTGTTTGCACCTGTTGGCAGCATTACCGTAAATGCAATTGCTTCAAAAACATGCTGGTCCTGGCCTGCGATTTTGTAGACTCTAAGAGTCTACATCACGAAAGAGGTGATTTTTGAAATGGCAAGTGAGTCTTGCTAATGTCCCATAAAAAAGTGGATATTTTTGTGGTAGTTGCAGCCTTGAAAAAAATCAATGTGTGTATGTTTGTTACAACTGAATGATAAAAACGTGTGCCTGTCTAACGAGGAGTTGTAATCTAGGCTCAGATAGTTGTAATGGAGGTTCTTATGAATGGAATGAACAGGGGAAAAAGTGGAAGTTGGATACCAGCTTTCTTGTGTGTGGGATACCAGCTTTCTTGTGTGTGTGTGCAAATCCCCAGTCACCGTGAAAGCTATCAACCTTCTCCCATATTTCCAAAATGCCTCCAAGGGCACAGCTACTGTGGAGAAACACTGGCCCAGCCTCAACGCCTTTGATGAGTGGTTAAGACCACACAAACAGAAAGGAGGCCCACAAAGATTATGACTTATCTGAGGTCCCAAAGATGGCTTCATCAGAGGGCTAGTGGAAACTCAGTCAACATTTCCCAATCCATGCCACCCTGCCTCCCAGGTGAAACAGTGTATTTGGACATTCTTAAAAGCTTTATGCTAACTTTTTTATAAGTAGAGAATTGTGTTCACTTGCTTCTCTTTGTCTGATTATGTTTAAGAGTAGATAATAATATTCTTTTGAACACCTGTGGGAACCGGCAGTAAACAGTGTAGGGGTGGTCGTTGTGACCTCTGGCTTCCTTATTGCCATGAGGCAGAGGTCAGACATGCCTCCACTCTCCATCCTTCTGTCCCTCCTCTGACACCAACCTTTCCTTCCACAACAGACTCCTTCTATGCTGGGTTCAATGCTTTCTTGCAATGGCTACACAGATCTCACAGACTGCACTCATGATTAAGGTGGAAGTGGGGGGCGGAAGCTCAGAGACCCAGATCAGAAAACATGAAGGACGCAGTGGTTGGTTCACAGCAACACTTCTCCTTAGCCAGCAGCCAAGCCTTTCTCTCACCTTCAGCTGCTCAGCCATGTAGCCCCTCGAAGGTGACCAGACGTCCCACCATTGGCGGGACAATCCCGATTTTTGGCATTTTATAAAAGTCCTGATTTTTAGAAAGAATGCACGACAAGTTGGGAATGGTCTACTTGGTCCATATAGACCAAATTTTAAATCAAGAAGCCCCCACCCCCACCCTACCCCACCCCGGTCAATGGTGTCCCGCTTTAAATCTGGTCACCTTACTCTAGACCACTCCTCCATGGCCCAGGAAGCCCACCGATTGCTCTGTCTCACAGTCCTTTGATCTTGACATGGCTCCTCTGTTCTGTCTCATGGTTTTCTTGCCTCAGCCTTTGCTTTTAACCTGGCACCCCTCCTCTGCCCACAGTCTCCGGTGCCTCTGGTCTCAGCCTCTGACACTTCATCCAAGATTTCCAACTGGCTGCTCTTCAAATGGTCCTGGACTCTCTCTCTCTGCCTGAGATGTTTGTTAGGTGCAAAGGAAGGGCTTGGATGGATGTGCGGTTTTTGTCTTTTAGCAGGCCGTGTCCTCTGGTCCATTAGCCTAGCACCCAGAATTATACGTCACCTAAGGAGTTATGGCTCGAAGGGCTGTATTAGCTGACTGCATTCAGGAGCTATCATGAACTCACTGTGGAAAATCCTGCTTTAAAGGCATCCAGGTCAAGGAAAAGTATGTAGAAAAGTATCTACTAAAATTAATATGTTGTTTATTAGTCACATCTATTTAAAGATACATAAAACATTTATGCATGCATTAGCATGTCCATCATAGTGCGCTGTCGAGTTGATTCCAATACATTGCAAACTCGTGTTCTACTCAGAGAAGAACTGGCCTTGAGGGTTTCTTGGCTGACATCTTCACAGACGGAGAGCCCGGGTGAGTTTGAACTGCCAACCTTTCAGGTCGTGGCTGAGCACTTAACCCTTGTCCCATCAGGGCTCCTTTAACAATGGCTATAAAGACTCAGAGTTCAATGGTTTTCTTAAGAAATATTGTCCCCACATCAGAGTTCAAAATTGAAAATGTGCATTTAAAAATATTTTGTAATGCTTCGAAAATGCCCCATGTAGTTTACTCTTTAAATCTGCATTCCAAGTTTTAGGCAGCATTTAGTTGCCTGGTTTTTTCAATTGAAAAAGACCTTCAGGGTCGTTCCACTCGGTGCTGGCATCTTTATGTAGAACAAAGGCAATTTCTCTTGATTGAACAACGCTTCCACTCTGGTTCTGGAGTGCTAAGAATATGGTAAGAGTTCTCCTCTATGACGTGTCAGATAAAAAGTGATAAAGGGGTCGTATTCTTGGTTTCAACCAAGTGAAACGTGCAGCCTTTTGTATTTCAGAATCCTCCCATGATTGCTGGCAGTTGAGGAACACATGATTTTTTGGTGTGTGCTGTTCATTTTAATGAATGAAGGAATGAACTGGCTGAGCAGAGCTGAATCCATGAAGACATAAATTAATTGAAGGTCCTTTCCTGACTGCCGACCCAATGCCTTTGTTCCCTGGATAGAGAAAGGACGGAGAGCGGAGACCAGGCATTGTATTGTTTCTGCAAGCAAGTCGTTATCCTCAGATTCAAACAGCTGATGATCTTTTAAAGAGCATTGCAGTTTGTCCAGCAAGGTTCTCATTTCAACGTGGGAAATAACCATTTAGATTCTGCTTCACCTCTGAGTGTTTTAATTTCCCTCGATGAACATTAACCATTAGTGAAGCAAGAGAAAAAGAATACCAGGCACAAACAACACCCTTGTACATACACGTATTAAGAAATGGAGGCATTACTGCTGGGAAATGGCCGTGTTGATTGATGCCGTCTTTGGCTCATCTAA